ATCTGCCAAAATGTCCGGATCATCTGCCGCCAGCACTTCTTCTGCTTCTTCTGCTGCTGCTCCTGCTGCCACCAGCACTGCCGCTCCCTCCGCCGGCCTCGGCGAGAACAAGGGAATCGAGTTCCGCATCAAGACCGGAGGTGCTTCCTACAAGTGCGTCATTCAGGACCGCCACCACTAGTATGTGTCCCTCTCTCAGTCCTGGAACTTGAAAATATTTTCTTGTGCTAACCATTTCGTCTCAGTGAGCGCAAGAAGGCTGCCCGTACCAACACCATGGACTCCGTTGACAGCAACGCTTCCGAGAAGTCCCTCTAAACAATTTCACATGACAATTTAAACGTGTCCTACCACCCCGTGTGGTGGTCGTCTGGCCTCACCAGATCCCCGGATCTCGGGGGACGTTCCCCGAGCACCTAGTCGCTCTCATCGAAGACTAGGTGTGGGGGGTCTGGTCTGGCAGATGTTCCAAGAAGGATGCTTGCTCTTCGGCATTTTCAGCCTGGTCTGAATGGGTTTTCAAAAATTAGCGAGTTTTTCTTTTGTGTTTATGGGGGGAAAAAGTTATACCATAGGGGAACTTTATTGGGCAAGGAGCCTCGGTGTTGCTCTACTGATCCATCAATTGAGGATAAATTGACACTTTTCATGACCTTGACCGTCATCTGACCACGATTCTGTTCCACGTTGAGACTTTCTGAAAGGCCTTAGATTGCTTGATGCATACCAAAAGGTTACCTTGCTGTGGTACGTACTGAGCCGTGTCACTTGAGACCGAGGAGCTTGAAGCTTACCTTTGAGTGTGTACCTAAGCCCAAGCTATGGACGGATACTTTTCCTGCGAGGGTATAGAGAGAGGCGCCAAGGTAGTGGGCCCGGGAAGACAGACAATGCGATGGCCCCAACATATCAAGGTTTGCCGGGCGGAAACCATGCATGCCCCGACTGCCACGGACTAGCATCCGAGACGTTTGTTGACCGATTGGCTACTCATTCGCTTCCTTCGATGGAGTTCATGCTCGTAGGTGGCGCATCGTTCACCTCCAAACAGTTGCTAAGCCAAGTAATACACGGATTTACAAGCGATCCCATAGGGCCCCAGATGAGTATTGGCATAGACCTGGATCAACAAAGGACAGCTGGTACTGACAACTGCCATTTATTTGGATTACGTATTCCCGCCAATAACAATGATTCCATGGAAGCTGAGTGTCACAAGAGCGGCTCGTGTTTGGAAGTTTGGTCGCACCCGCCACGGCCCGTGAGGCTCTTCTCATCCCCGTCCCGGATTCAAGTGATCTGCAAACCATGGAGGTAGGCACGACAGGTGGTGGTGACGCTTCCGGGTCGTAAATAATCCAATAGAAAGAAAGCCATGTGGTGAGTCTGTAAACTGTGGCTTGGCATATGCACCTCTTTCCGGTCTGCATCTTACTCTTGTTAGCCATCTGACAGCTTGCAGCTTGCACCATTCATCAACATCTGTGGCTCAAAGGCGAAGACTGTCTGGCCACAGATTTGCATCTAGAAACCCGCGAATACACACGCAGCCCGCCGAATAGCCTTGGGCGCAAACCTTCTTTTCAAGCTTCTTCTATTCGTCCCATCTTCACCCCATCGGGAAGTTCGGTGGCCTATACGCGCCCGGGGTACAAAGCGCTTCCTGCCTTATGCGTCGGCGTTTCATAACCCCATCAGGAAACATCAAAAGTCGGACGTGACCTTCAGCCTGGCTTGATTTCTTTTTCCAGCTCCTAAGTCCAGCCATGATCTGCGGATGGTCTGACTATACACAATGTCCCTTGCCAATAGCCCAGCAGCTCAACTGTCATGCAGACAGACTTGTCATCAACCGACATCGAAGCTCTCTGGGGGACCCTCGATTGCGACCCTCCCGCGATGCATCTCGGGCCTTAATTCACGATGAGTGGCTGCTGGCGATTGGCCAGGGCACTGCCGATGCGACGTGCGGAGGTAGCCACCTGCCCGATTGGCGATTTCCTCCACATGATTGCCCTTTGCTACGTTACTCTCTGGGATAGTTCTATGCCAGCTTGGGGCCATGATCCTTGCAGCGACAGGTATGTACTCCTGCGCCAGCGATTTGGCGCTGCTGCTCGTGTGCTTCACATAGATGAGACTATGCTTCCAGCAAGCAGGTACCCCTTGACGGGTACATGGGCGGGCAGGCAGTCGTCGCCAGCGGCCTGCAATCTCTGTGTGTCATGTCTCACGCAGGCACGCGGCGGCCGGCATCATGACATTTCGGAGCTCCATGTATAAAAGGGGAGGCTCCGGTTGACTATCCCCCTCCACCATTCCACCGCCACATCGGACTCTACCGCAGCATACCTAGCAGGCCCTCCCTCGCAAATCAGTATTCATTATGCCGTCGATCTTCAAGAAAGCCATGGCCGCTGGAGCTGTCTTTTCTGCAGCTGCCAGCGCCCAGAACTTCCGTGTGGTTGGTCAGATCTACACCGGCACGCCTGGTGAGACAATCACCTATCGTACCTGGTACGGCGACGGCAACCTGTACGTTGGCCCCAAGGTCCCTGCGAGCGTGGGCAATGCTTTGAACTTTACCAGTAAGTCTTAAAAAGACCAAGGAATCCCCCCCCCCCCCCGCCATTGTGAGACCACGGAAGGCAGAGACGCCAGAGCCACGTGCTTTCATCTGAAGTCTGGATGTGCTCTCTAACGTTTTCTCCCGTAGTCCCCGACTGGACTGGTACGCAGCCGCAGGTGCTCGTCGGCCCCGTGCCACCAGCTACATCCGAGGACCTGCCCGACGGCACGTTCATCGCCATCAACAACGCCACGGGCGCCACGGACCCTGTCCTGCTCACCAACGACGAGTCGTCGCTCGGTGACGGCTACATCTCCAAGTGGATCCGCTACGGCACCTTCTTCGTCCCTGCCAACCCTGGCGGTATCTCGGATACGCACACATTCTTCTATCTCGCCAATACGGAGGAGCCTGGTACTTTCCAGATTACCTGGAGAACCCCGGGAACGGCCGAGGAGGGGCTACAGAGAATCAACATCACTGCTGTGCTGTAAGCTCAAGTGATGATGGGATGACGACCGCCCCGGGGCTATCGGGAGCTCATTGAGACGTTTTGCCTGGCTATAATGGCGCTGCACCGCTGACGGACAACGGCCGTTGATGGATTGCCATATACATATATCTAGTATACCCAAAGGATATAGTTAAATTGAAGAAATTAGCGTGGCAGAAATTTCCAGGACGAAGTTTCTCCGGCTGGTAATGAACCTACTACTACTGTTCGAAACAAGCCCAAATCCAATATCAGTGTAGTTTCGGTCTGCAATCATTCACAGTGAGAGCAGAGATATATGAATTCTACCTTGGTTCTAGAAATTCTTACCTCGTTGAATGGCTGTGATCGAAAGGCTAATAGTCAAAGTAACTAGCCACTCAGCCTAACAAGTACAAGGTGGTGATCTCTCAACTCAGATGGCATCCAGTCTTCTAAGCGGATGTCAACCGGCCCCACCAGATCCATCCCGAGTCCGGACCCGCCCCCACTGATTAGCATCCTGCAGGCAATGTGCAGGTATGTATTGTCCAGGATGACGATGGAGATAGCTTCCTTTGATATTGAGCAAGAGTAGATATTAGGATGGCCGTGAGAAACAGATCGGAAATGATGATTGATCGTGAGAAGCCAGAACGGACTTGTTACTGGGTTGGGCGTTTCACCACTGCTGCAGACTCGAGACTAAACCCCCCGCTGGGGTACAGCTCCCGTGGCTCCCGTAACCTAGGCCTAGTGCGTGGACTGACTACTAATCCCAACTGGTTAGGGGATGTCTTCTTTTGGGCCACCTTCAAAATATCAGTTCAAGACGGGCAGATGGCGGAAATAAGGTGAAACGGATGCTACGTATTTGTGCTGGTCCCTGTTGCTGGTGTTGGCGCTGCCCTCGACGGCCAGAAGCGGCACGGTGCCTCACTCTCGTGTTACTTTCCGCTTCTGGCGCAGCCACCCGCCAAGAGAGGAAGAGATGGCAAAGGCGAGGCGCTTGCGAGTCGTGTGACGGGATGGATCCAGAGATGGGCGGTCTTTGGTTGCGTGCGCACGCCACTGATGAGCGTCGGGTGTCGTCATCAGCCACAAGCAAGCCTCGCTTCCTCGAGCTCAGGCTGGACAGTCAGCCAGCATGTGTCGGGCGTGCTTGAGTTCTCTTTCTGCCGGCTTACTGTCTGGCTGGCGAAGTAAAATGCACTTTATAGCTCCTGGGCGATGATTTAGCCTTGCGCAGCTGGGGGATTGGAAAAGCTAAAGTCGAAGGAATACGCCGCGGACGCACAGCGCCAACGGGATTCAAGAATCAGGACATACATATTAGCCCCTCCCGCCCCGTCCGACCACTGCTACAGTCAACTCCCCGTCCTTCAACCTCGTCCCGCCCACCTACATACTCCTGCCGACTACACTCACACGAAGAAGGGGACGGCTCACTGAGCCCTGCTTCAAAATGCCAATTCCACTGGCGGCAAAAGGTACGTCCAGCGTTCATTCATGCGTCCGATCATGGCGATGGCGATCAGTTCGCAGCCTGCTGTACCCCGCGTTTCGTCACAGGCGGCACAACCCACGACGCCCTTCCAGCAGGTTCAGCTGTTCGCCACCTGAGCCTCTAGGCTTCCAGGCCCAGGCCAGGGGACCGCGCAATCACCTGTTCCCTCCAATAAATCATCACACGCGGCCCTTCCCCAACACTTTTTTTGTCCGCTGTTTGCCCCCGTCATCTGGAGAAGCCTTGTGTTGTTTTCTTATGATTTGAAGGGCCCGATGCATCACCTGTAGCCTGCATTTGGGGCCTATCATTTGTGTACCGGTTTAGAGCAGCCTCCACACCTACCTGCCCTCCACCCTCGAGGCAACTCTCTGCTGGTCCTTTCTACCATTTCCGCACCACGCCTTGGGCCTTTGGCCTTTCCCGACAGTAACAATCAGGATCGAGAAAATATGCCTCCCGCTAACCATGTCATCCTCGCCTCAGGCGCTGTTGTCGCCGTATCGGTAGCGGTAGCCACCGCCATCGCTCTCTACGAGTCCCCCGAGCTCAGGCGCTACGCCGACGATGTCCGCCGTCGAATAGCCGTTGCTTTGCACGCGATAGGAGAGGGCATCGACCCTCCCCATAGAGAACCGCTCTTCAACCGACCCGAGGATGCCAACGGCTTCCTGCAATCGAGCCGCGGCGAGGGCGCAGAACCCGGCGTCGACGCCGACGAAGAAACACGAAGGAGGCAGCGCGAGGAGCTCCTCTACTGGAACTCGCAGCTGCTGGAGAAGGAGAAGGAGATGGATGAGAAAGAGGCTGCGATAGAGGGGCCGACTCCTGTGAGGCGCCTGACAAATGGGAGCAGAGGGTCATCATTCGATGATTTCCTGCGACAGGATGAGGGTGCCGAGAGGGGCACATTCGTCTTCAGTTCCGGAACCGATTCGCCTGCTACCGATGGCCTGCGACATCGAGGCGAGGCATCCGCGTACACTATTCGGGGAATGCCTGCGTCTGTTTTTGCAAACCCCTTCGCCGACGAACACTTTATTATCTCCGATGATATCGAAACCGCACAGGCCAGCCAGGTTATGCCGTCAAGAGACGAGATCATGTCCGATATCTACAGCGCCACAACCCAAGAGCATCCTCAGTCACCCAAGCTAGACATCAGGGAGGAGCCCGAGTCCCTGATTGATCTCCGCTCACAGTCCCCAGTCCAGACACAGTCTTCCGTGACCCTGGACGGCAGCCCAGAACCAGAGGAGTACATGACCCCAGGCCAGGAAAACCAACACGACGATGCCTATGCTTCCATCCAGGCATGGGCTCAGAGCTCTGAGCAGGGCTTCTACTCACCACTGCCTTCAACGCCCAGGATGCCAGTCTCTGAGGCTGGCTCCGAGCCCGATGAGTTCCTCACCGAAGGCCAGCTCACCCCAACCGATTCGGTCTCAGTTATCGGCTCACATGAGGACTTTGGAAACGATGGCGTCTCAATGAGAAATGGCTCCGCCGCCCGTCCCTACGACGTAATTAGCGAGAGCGACGGTATGATGACTCCCGCCAGCTGGTCAGAGGTTGGTAGTGTTATCAGCGAGAGCGATGTGGCTCCAGCCCCAATGCGTGCATAGAAGTGAAATCATCTCTGCCAGTTGTGTTTCAAGCTGGGCTAAACCTTGCGTAATCACCGGTTGGCATGCCGGTTCTGTGAAAAGGATCTCTTTTTTTTCTCTCTCTTTACGGCGTCAGGAAGTGAACTCATGGGTCAAGGATAACGTTCGAATACACTCGTTTTTTGTTTTTCTAAGTCTTGAACTGGACAGCTCTATACACTATGTCGAATTCTCTGGCGTTCTGCTGGCGGTCTTGTTTCGCAGGGTATGTAAGGCACAATAAATCTAAGAACACGATATACAACCGCTCAACTCCTCGTGCTCGATGTAGGCTCTCAATGAAACACAAAGTCTAAAACTCATGATGCCGCTGCTAATTCTCACTCGTCCCTCAAATATCCTCCTTGCTCACGACGACCGTCTCCTCGTCCTTGAGCTTCTCGCCGTACTCCTCCCATAACTTGGTGACGTGCTCGCCCAGCAGCTCAACCCAGAAGGTCTTCTCGTCGTACTTCTGGATCCTCAGCTTCTCGTTCAGGCGGCGGACGGTCCCCTCGCCGAAGCGGCCCTCGAGGTACTCGAGGAAGTAGGCCGTGTGCTGGTACCCGCCGTCCCACGACCCGCCGGCCTCGCGCTTCCAGTGCGGCGGCGACAGCCCGCAGTTGAGGCGGACCCAGTCGGCGACGCCCTCGATCAGCCCCCCCGGGCAGGTGCCGAAGGCGTCGTACTGGAAGCAGTGGACGAGCTCGTGGGTGACAACCCCGGTGATCTCGTCAGCTGTGCGGTCCGGGCTGACGGCGGCGATGTACCTGGTGGAGAAGTGGACCTCCTTGTGGTCGCTGTCGAGGTCGGAGCCGGTGGTGTAGGCGACGCCGTCCATGTCCCTGAGGATGAGGGTGACGGAGCGCGTGGGGGGCACAGTGGTGGTGGGGGAGGAGGGGGATGCGTAGAGCCAGCGCAGGACGTTGCGGGTGGCGGCGGTGAGGAGGTCGGTGGCGTGGACGGCGCGGAGGAAGGAGGAGGCCCCGGCGTCTGAGAGGTTGCGGATCTCGAGGCGGAGCTTGGGGACCGCGAAGCCGCTGCCGTCGCCGGCTTGCTTTGGGATTGGGGACATGGTTGGCGGGTGGTGGGTTGGGGGATCAAAGGTGACTGCCCGGGCTGACACGTTGTTCAAGACTGTTGGTATGGGGTTTCGCCCGCTTCTGTACCACCAGACTCCTGCTGGGTGCGTTGTGGGTGAGAAGAAGAAGAGCGATGGCAGTTTTATGTCCTGTCTAACATGAGCCGACCATAGCCTAAGCTTTCGGGAATAATCCTTTATTTTTTTTATATTTAGCTGAACTGAGTCAAGGTGGCTATATTTTGGCGTATGAAACGTTTCCTCACCTTTGCCTTCACTTCATCATTTATTTACTTCTCTCACCTCACACATAAGCCTAACATTAGTCAACAGGCTAATAGAAATTTATTACTGCGTAATAGCTAATAGTGTTATTAGAATAATCCTCCTTATAGCGGGCCCAACGCTGACCCAAGGGAACATTGGCCAGTTGAAAAGACAGCGCGTGCTTCATATGAAGGGTCAAACAAGCGGCAGCACAAAATGGGGGCAAGGTCTAGGCGGATGCCTTAAAACGCTCACTCTCCTCCTGTTCCTTAGCTGCATGGTATCGCTGAAATACACTTCCCGGGGGGTAAACCTTTAGATTTCGGGGCGCGGCCGAGTAGTATTCTCCAGCCTTCCGCCTCCATGCCCTCCACTTCCAGTCCTGCGGACTCCGGAACTGGCCAAAGTTGGTCCACGTCTTTATTTTCACGCGGTAAGATACCACGGGTCCAGGACTCCGAGAGTGCCGTGAGATCTCCACCGTGTAGTCTGTCAGGCACCTGGCGCACGACCCGTGGACCACTCGCCCCGGCTCCCGCAAGAACTTGGAGATTTCGTCCGCGCTTAAACCGGCCGCTCTTGTAGACACCACTCTTGTAGAGCATAGCAGGCGATTCGACATGACCGAAGTCGTCGTGTGTGGGCAGATATCGTAGAATCCAGTGTTTAGTTTCCTCGTCATGCTCCGTACGTCGGTCGATTCCATCACATTCCTGCCGAAAAGGAAAAGGCTGTCGGATACGATCTTGACGGAGTATCGACCGAACCATACGTGGTATCCCAATACCACATTTATATCATTGAACAATGTTTTATAACGTAAAGCTTTGGGGTCGAGGCCGGCCGGCGCCCCATAGAAATGACGGTTCATGACTGCTCGCCCATGATGATATGCAAAGTGGTTCTCCGAAAATGTTGGTGAGTTCTGATAGTCGATCCCCAAACAGGTCGGAGCGCCACTAGAAGGAGGACGCTCGTTCGGCTTGTTGAGAGAAGAGAGCCTGTGCAATCCCGTGCAAACACCGCAGTAGAGGTGCGTCGCCATGAGATCTCGCTCCAGGCGGAGGAGGAAGTTCTCATGGTCTTTCTTTGATGCCGGCATATAGAGATCATGTAAGATTTCCTTGTATATGAAGTGCAGCGGCTTGCACGCGAGTGCTGCAGAGAGTCTATCGGGTGGAGAGAGAAATGTGACGATCAGAACGACAACCTCGGCTGGCAACTCCAACAAGGGTGATTGGGACTGAGGAGGCCCCGACCAAGCAACATGTCTTGTTATATTTGCCACGAGCTCTTGGAGCCATCCATAAATCAACGCGAGCGCCATCGCATAGCAATCAAGAGGCCCGGATCAAATCAAAACAGTAAGCAGAGGAGCAGGACGGGATGGTTATTAGGGTAGCAATGCAATGATGTAGGATTGAAAGAGTTTCGATTTACCACTGCCAAAATAAATAAATAAAAATTGGTCACTTTCTTTGCGTTTCTACCAAGCCAAAAAACTCAATTTCGCGTTTTACCCACGTTAAGTTTTCAGAAAAAGAAAGCTTAATGCTAGGAGCCTCGATGGCTGTGTGGCTACATGGTTCGCACAATAAGCCTTGACAATACAACAACACCGTAGGGGGTTGTTGATGGTATTGTGGAGGCTGGTTTCAATGTCTGGTTTCTGTATACATCACATTTATCCAAGTGCCAGAGCTTGCTTATCCTAAAGCACCCATTTGCCTACAATTCGTCGTGCTTTTCGTCCAAGACCTTTCTATCGCCAACTCCCAGTGGGAACGCCTCGGTAAACAGCTTCAGGTTTAGCCCACCATCGACCAAGTCAACCTGTATCTTTCGTCCTCTCTTATAGGAATAACTCCTTCATCCCTCTAGATAATACCTACTTTAGGGATTTTTCTTGGTCAATTGGCTTGCTTCTTATTGATTACACACATATAAACTACGTCCCGTATGAGGATTTCCCTAGTGTCCCGCCGCTATCCATGGGATAGCTCTTACTAGCTAGAAAAGATAGAGAAGCGACATCAATCCCTTTAAATTAAACCGCCCTGATGAGGATGGTGACAAGAGGAAATCAGGCAAGCTACCCGGGAGAGGGAAGTCACCCATCTCTCGACAGAAGTCGACAAACTGTTGCGGATTGTAATGGGTTGTTGTAAAATTGTTATACACAAGCATGTCGGGTTAATTCATCGGCCATCTGTAGGCCCCTTGTGTTGTTTTTCTTTGATATCGCGATCATTCTCGTTTCTGACCTCGCCGCCAACTTCACGTTATAGTGCTGTACTACCCTGCTCGTATAACAGATTTGCCCACCTCTCATTGAGGTGATCTAGAACAGGAGCGGCGACAATTGAACGCTACCTTCAAAACAGCCGCGCTACATGAATTACTGGCAGCGCTGTTTGAGTTCTGTCGCAGAGGTGAAGCCCTTCTAGTCCGTGTTGACATGCCCCGCTCAGATTCAAGGGGTCCACGGTGCCGCTCGTTTATTACCCCTCCCCCCCTAAAACAGCCTGAGTCTGGGTGCCTGATAATATGGAGATAACGGGACTTCATGCGTCTTGATTCGGGAATGTCACGTTCTCGTGGGCGAGGCCTGCAGTCGTGGCCTCGATGGATGATGAGTTTCTCGGGAAAGATTAAGACCAGGTACTCCATTGGGATAGGTACCGTAGCTTCTAATTAATACCGAGCGGCCTACCTGAAGGCAATTCCAGATTGTGCCCAATAGATCAATACAACACCCTTCGCTGGCGCTGGGGGCCCTTGCCGGTCCAAGTAGGCTAGGCCAGGCGCTCAGGCCAGTGCTGGGCCTGCTGGACCCCTCTGTGGGCGGGCTTTGTTTCCGCAGGCCCCGCAGCACCGTGGCTCACTATGGCAACCTAGAGGGGATCAACTCCCTCCCCGGGGCTCCATCTGCCCACTGCAGAGCCAAGCCCATTGCGGCCTGTTGATTGTTTTCGCGCGTCACTCCATCACATTACCACCTCAGTCGCTCATCCAATTTCCAGCATCATTCGTCTGCACAGAATAGCCGAATTGCGATCGATTCTCTTGTTTTTGTCTTTTTGGCAGCGCGCAACAAGCTATCGCTAATACCCCCAAATGATATACTTGCTACAGCAACCTCTTCGTTTTCTTAGCCTAGGCTCCTGAATTTGTCTTGGGAATCTATCACGCTCTCACTGAAATCTGTATGTTGCTGCTAAACACCTCTTGCGCGGTCCCCCGCGACTGATTAGGGGAGCCCGACTCCTGTTTTCGTTGCTTTTTCTCCCCCCTTTTCCGGAGTCTTTGGTCTTTCATCTGTCCCGTCCGCATCGCACTTTTCGTCTTGATCTGTTTATTCTTACATCGATTGCGGGGTTCGCATTGCGACCGTTGTGCTCGTGAGCTTGTTGCTAACGCGGGATGATATCTAGACGTCGATGGCCGACAACAAAGTGACCGAGGAGCAGGCCGCAGAGCTCGTTACTGTCCTCCATAGCGACATCATCCTCGACAAGAAAGTCCAGTTTGTGACCAACATCAAGTCGGGCATCAAGCAGCATAATGTCCCTGAAACATGCGTCCCCCAACTCTTCGACGGACTTCGCGCCGCCGCCAGCTCCCAGCATAATGCCATCGTCAATGTCGGTTTCACTGCCCTCAACCACCTCCTGACCAGGCTGTCCCGCCAGGAGCCCAAGCTTCTGAACAAAGAGGCTGCTCGCACTCTACCCCTGATCATCGAGAAGCTGGGCGACCAGAAGGAGAAGTACCGGGCCACCGCAATGCAGGCACTCAACACACTGTACAGCGTTCACCCCGGGGATGTTGAGCGCTTCATCCGTAATTCTGCCATGACCGGCAAGAATCCCCGCGCGAAGGAATCAGCCATGCAGTGGCTGCTGCAGGTATGCCTCATCCCCTGAAGCGAAACGACATGCGACTCTAATGCTGACTTTCGACAAGACACACCAGGAGCAAGGCCTCCAGTTCCGTAGCTACGTTCCCTTGCTTATGGATTTATTGGAAGATGCCGATGGTATGGTTCGAGATGTTGCCAAGAGCACCGTCATTGAACTTTTCAGGTGAGATGCCCCCTTTTATATAGTATCACATTCAGAGGATGGCCAAGGCTGATACGGGGGGTGAATAGGAATGCACCAAACACAGCAAAATCTGATCTGAAGCGACAACTGAAAAACTTCAAAGTCCGACCTGCGATCGAGCAAGCTATTGTTAAGGAACTGGCCCCAGCTGGCACCCGTCCAGAGACTCCCGCCAATGCTGCGCCCGCCGCCCGACCTGCACTGGCCGCGAGCGTATCTTCCATGTCAAGCGAACGACCAATCACTCCCGCCGTCGATACCAAGGCCGAGAATATTGAACCTCAATACGTCAACACGAATCGCGAACTCGACGATATCTTTAAGGGAATGGCGTGGTTCTTTGAGGGCAGGGAGTCGGAACAGAATTGGGTCAAGAGAGAAGAGAGTATGGTCACATTGCGACGACTCAATGCCGGTAATGCGACTTCCGACTTCCCCGATACCTTTCTCGCAGGGCTCCGTGGAATGCTTGACGGCATAATCAAAGCTGTAACCTCGTTGAGAACCAGTTTGTCAAAGGAGGGTTGTGGACTGGTTCAGGATATTGCTGTTGCTTTTGGTCCTGCCATGGACCCAATGGTAGAGCTTCTCATGCAAACGTTCGTCAAGCTATGCGCCGGAACCAAGAAGATCAGCTCCCAACTAGCAAACACGACTGTCGACACCATTCTGAGCAACGTAACCTATAGCCAGAGGCTGATGCAGCACATCTGGATTGCCTGTCAAGACAAGAACGTGGCTCCTCGCACGTATGCGACCGAATGGCTCAAGACCATGTTGAAGAAGGAAGCCAACCACAAGAGCCATGTCGAGCACACAGGCGGAGTTGACCTGATTGAGAAATGTATCAAGAAGGGGCTCGGCGATCCAAACCCTGCGGTCAGAGAGAAGACGCGATCAGTGTTTTGGGCATTTTGGGGCGTTTGGCCTCAGCGAGCCGATGTGTAAGTCTCTCCTGTATCCCTGTTTTTCAATCGAGTGGACAATACTTAACCCCCAACAGAATCATGGAAGATCTAGACGCAACAGCCCAAAAGCTTCTGAACAAGGACCCTAGCAATCCTAACGCCCCTAAGAAGGGAGACGCGCCCCCTCGACCAGGACTGGGCTTATCCAGGAGCACTATGACCGCCAGTAAACCAAGCCTCCGGGAAACGATGATGGCACAGAAGAAGGCGACACTTGCAGCCAAGACCTTGCCTGCTCGACCAGGGTCTGCCATGGCCCGTATTTCACCTGTACGGAAAGTGTCGGACCCTAAGCCACCAAGTAACGCTTCTTCATCGAAGCCTTCAGGGAGTAGGGCACGCCCTGAAGCTGGAACAGTCTCTGTTAATGCTAGTTCGATGTCAGTCGCCCCCATGCGCCCAACAAGGAAGCGACCCGAAGTTGCTCCTCGACCTGCAACGGCTGGTCCTTACTCTGTTCGAGATCGTGGCGAACACATCGAAGCCGAGAGCCCTAGGACCCTCAAGGCTAAGCTGGCACCGAAACCTAAGGAGACGACATCTAGAAGGACGGCCCAAAGGACCCGGCCTGGGCACGCCTCGCACGCCAGCGAGTCGAGTATAACATCCCCTGTTGCAAGGCCGAGATCTGTAGCTTCGAATAGAGTGAGTCCGACTCGGCTTAAGAACTCGCAGTCAGTACTCTTATCAAGCAGCCCTGCCGCGAAACTGAATGAGGACCTGACGCTCGTTGTCCCTCAAATCCCCACCCCACAAGCAACCACCGCACAACAAGCCAACAAACTCGAAGAGCAGCTCGTGAAACCACACGTTGAAGTACTCCCTGAAACGCCCGTCGAGGCGCCTGTTCAGATTCAGTCTCCGTCAGACGAGACCCCACAGCCAGTGAAAGTCTACGAAGATCCCTTTGTCGAGAACCAACAAGAGCCGAAACCAGTCTTCACTGGCTCAGTTCTCGAGGACAAGCCTGTGAACGAGGATGCCGCGAATCTACCTCATTCCAACGGCCAGGCTAAAGAAGCCGACGATTCCGACTCGCCAGGCAAGGCCAACAAGAACGCACGCCTCCTGGACAGCGGAATCTCCAAGATCAAGCTCAAGTCGCTTGAGGTCCATGGCTTCCGTAAGTTGCAGAGCCTTCTACGTGACAACAGGACGATCTTCACGGACGACAAGTTCCAAGCTTTGCTGCTCGGTCTCTTCCAGTTCCTCGAGGACCCTCTGTCAACGACGCCCGCAGACAAGGCGCAGGA